ACTGCCCATACTCCCATTAAAATTATTTCTTGATGTAAGGGATATAGTTCTTTTATTTCAGAAGTGACTCACAGGGTCATGGAAGAAATGCTCCTGCAGTTAGATTGCTCCATCACTGGTCCTAATGAAGCCTCTCCCTTTGAAAGCACTGGTACTAGTCGCTGTCAAAATAACATGCTAAATTAGAACAGATTTTAATACTGTGAACATTCAGGGGAAATTCATGTCTTCTCATGAAACATAGAAGCATGGTCCATAAATTTAGAGATTTCCATAAGCGACTCCTTATCTAAAGGTACCATCTGCCATGCTGCAATGCTGGGGTACCACCAGACTTCCTAATAGAAGCATCATGATATGCTAGAGCAACGTCAGTTCTATGGGATGTTAAATATTCAGTAGCTCCTCTTACATAGTAGAAGATTCAGGCCTTAGCCTTGTATAAAAATATGCTGTCAAAAAGCTAGAAAAAACACACAAATCATCCAGTCCTACACAGTAAAACCAGCTCCTGGGGATACTTGTGCCCCAGGGCAGCTTTAATTTGGACGTGCCATATATCACCATAGGCCTACTTGATCAGAGTTGCAGTCTCAGGAAATATTTTCAGGACTATTCAATTTCCATTAGCAGTTTCTCCAGGATATATTAGGCACAAACTGGGTTTCCTTCAATATCAATCATTCATGTTTTCTCTTTCATCCTCTCTTTGCTAAAATGGGATTTTCATGGAGGCCATGAAATTGCAAAATTTAGTCTGTTCTTGTGGCTGGTTCTATCATTTAGGCTCCTTTAACAGTGTTTCGCAGCAAAGGCTGGGGAAGGACCCTCTCTCCACCCTGGTGTTAGAGAATACCCAGTAATGCTCAGTGTTCCAACTCTTCCATTCAGAAGTTTCCTTCCCCACTACCCCCCATCTCTTTCTGCACACTTCAAGACTGATTCTCCTTGGCAGCTCTCTGTAACCAGTACTCCTGCTCTGTTCCCAAAGGATATGAGTTGGTTATGCTTCCCCAGCGCGCCGGAGTAGTGCCTTCTCCAGGACCAAGGTTAAAAATCAGTTGCTTTGACTTTCACAGAGCCCCATGATGCTGGAAGCATACAAATGCTAGCTGCACCTCCCAAGGTCCCTTCCAAATTGAATTATCCTGCAACGTTATTACACTCATACATACTGATGCAAAGATGATGAGGCCTGTGGACACCGTCTTTCTGAAACGGCTACAAAGCTGCAAATACTGCTTCTCTTTGCTTGTTGCAAAAAGGGAGAAAGAAGGAGCTTTAAGAACTGAAGTGTTCTCACGAGGGGCTGCTGGTGAGACCAGCCGGTGATTCAAGGAACTTGGAAGCTCCCTGAGAAGTGGACTTTGCTGACCCAAGACAAAAAAAAAATAAAAATCCCCAAACAAAGAAATTCAAAGAATAACCAGAACCCACCAGTGCTTATGATTCTTGCATGTTCCAAGTCCTTTGTAACAGTACCCAACTTAGTTACCAGTGTTCTTACTCAGTCACTTTACTAACGGTATGATTCTGCTTTTCTCAGTAAACTCTTGGAATTTCCTCCCTCTGCTTTGTGAGGGCACTTCTCAGGCCCAGTATTTCCCTCCATTTAGCTAAAACAAACAAGAGCTTTCTCTTTGAAACTATTTCAGCATCATGAGATAAGTTTCCTTCCTCCTTTTAATAATTGCAGGAGTCTCCAGAGGGAAGTGTCAACAACATTATTTCCTTCCAAATTCTAAGATACAATGTTCTTGTAGGTGGTGAGATTAGATTACAGTAAAATTAATTGTTGGCTTCCAGGTTTCGTTCTTCAGGCAGCAATGTCAGCTCTCATGAACGTGTTAGTTCAACTCACCTGTGAGCTTTACTCACCCTTCCCACTTCTCTGCATCAGATGGTCACGGAACAGACAAAAGCTGCAACCCATGACCAAAAGGCCTAAAATCCAGTAGTTAATATGATCGATGGACCTTAATTCTCTACCTGCAGGGAGCGTTTCTGAGGACAGGGCACATGGGAAGGCATGGGACCACAGGCTCTGTCCTGACGAGTTTACCATGCCATTTGAAAAAGTGTGAGAAAAGCCCATGCGGCAGCCCAGGGCACGGGGATGAAGGAGCAGCAATGACGAGACCGTGTGGGCAGCTGCTGTGCATCTCAAACCACCTCACTGAGATGACCCATTTGGACGTTTTCTTTTATGAATAAAGAAGCGGAATACACAAAATCAGCTAGCTCCAGCTGTTATTCCCCTCACCACAATAGGGTGGATTGATAGCTTGTAGACAGGGTTTTTGAGGAGATATGGAGAAAGTGTCCTTCCAGATTAATTCAAGGACAGCGCTCTAAGGAGTCTGTTACCCATTTTTCAAGCGTTCCTATGTTTATTTACTGAAACAACAGGAGTAATATGACATCATAAATCTTGCAAAAATTGAAATAGTAGTGCCAGTTGTGAAAGATTAATAATAAGGAACGCCTTTTAGAGTGTGCTCATGGAAATGTAATATGAATGATTAGTGTTTTTGAACATTAGAATTACAGTGTATAATTGTAATGTTATAGCAGCTATATAGGAGCCAGTGATGCCTTAATGGAATACATTGTGAATTTAATTATTTACATGGAAAAATCGGGGCTGATACAGTCACTGAATGATAGACCTACTGTTGTCTACATCCTGCAAGTGTTATGAAGGAGCGGCATTGCTATCCATGTGGATACACTTGGTCCACCTTTGGTATTTAGTTAGTTTCAAATGCTACCCTCCAGCAGATACGCTTTGGTGTGGTTCAGGCTGTCCTCCTGCAAGGCCCACCGTAAGTGCCAACATTCACGGAAGGAGGATTTTGCTTGCGTGGGGCCCATGCCGGAGGCCCTGCTTCATGCTTCGGGCAGGGAGGGAGATGTCTCCCGCTGAAGAACGAAGCGGCCAGGCAGGGTGCTTTGCCCTGTGTTTCTTCTGCAGTGCTGGTTTCAGAACTATTTGGCGGCATGACATACAGCAAAAGTATGCATAAAAATACGTATCTACGCTTGGGAGACACATTTCCCTGGAGTGGCTTCTGGGTATACGTACTTCTGGGTATACTCAGAAAAAACCAAGAGCTCTTCAGAGGCTTTTATAATGTCAGTAATATTAAAAGTACAGTTTCAGTTGAAAGCAAAACATCACTTCCCTGCAGAAAAGGTGGGATCGTGTAGATTCAGTATCTCTGTGTTGGTAATTCTCCCTGTAAGGATTTGCCGCCCGCAGGGTGCTCCTTGCAGGGCTTCTCAGCTGCCTCGGGATGTAGGCATGTGCCTCCCAGCTCAGCCGAGGGGCTTTGCATGCCAGGCTGCATTCAGAGCAGCTGCACCAGACCAGAGGTTTTGCTTGCTCCTGTGAACAATTGATTTGATAGCAAAGGGAAGAAAGAAGGAGAATTTTTTAAATCCTCTCAGCCCCAGTTGAAGGACTCATCGTAAAACTATCAGACAGAATTCAACAGAGTGGAAATCCCTGCTCTGATAAGCCCCGGCCCTGGAAGGCAGGGATGCAAAGTTCAGGATGGAGGTGCGCTTGCTGGATGCCCTGCACTCCCTCATGCTTGGCTCTCGCTGCTGCTGCTGACCTGTGGTGTTACACATCATTAATGTTAAAAAAAGAGCATCTAACCAAATTGAGCTGCAAGCGATTCACACCTAAACTACAGGCTTTCCTTTTTGCTGGAAGAAGATTGTAATTCAGCGAAACGTTCATTCCAAAAATTCCTGGTGCACGATGCTGCACACGGGCATGTGGCTTTTGCATGCAAGGAACTGTAAATGCACGATGTAAGAGCACATTTGTTAACACAGTTTATTGGCACACTTATTGGCAAAGCATACATAAAATACAGTTGTATTATATAACACACTGACTCACTGTCTTTACATGATGAGTTGAACATATTAATATGTAAATGAAAAAATTAGTTTCTTTTATAAAGTTTCACATAAATACACCGGAATCAAAAAAAAAAAAAAAAAAAAAGGAAAAAAAAAAATGGTTTGAGGGCTTTAAAAAAATATTATACAAAAAAAAAACTATGAAAAAAAATAAAGTTTCACATAAAAACACCGGAAAAAAAAAAAAAAAAAAAAAAAGGAAAACAAAAAATGGTTTGAGGGCTTTACAAAAATATTATACAAGAAATATACTATGAAAAGAAATAACAACAAAGCCAACTCAGGTACAATAATAAAAACACAAAAGTTTTAGATTTATTAAGCTGCCCACAAAGTTAATGGATTACATGGCTTTAAAATATCTGGATCAACAGCAATTTTACAAAGCATAAACTCTCATAGGACTGGGTGTCTTTTTCCACATAAAAATATTTCTCATGTCTTTGATGAAAAAAAGACATTTCTTGTTTCAGCATTTTTATTAAATGATGGAAAGAGTATCTACTGGCATCAGCTAAATGCAAATTAAAAATGCTGGATCCTTTAAATGATTAACCGATGAAAGGAAAGTTAAAGAAAGAACAAAAGTTACTTTAAATTACTTTTCCTTAAAAGCTGATTTTTTTCTGAAACAAGAAATTTCAGGTGCAAGTTGAAAAGCAGAAAATATATTACAATTGTAAAAAGTTTTACATAGTTACGTTAATGAGATCCTGAGCACTGATGACTTGTTAAAATATGGCCATTGTTTGATGAGGAAAAAAACCAACCCCTTCCAATAAAATGTATTGTCAGAAATTTGCCATGAGCTGCTATTTAATTTTCAGTTACTTTAATTGAGGTCAGTGCCAGTATCACGTTGTATGTGAACGCTTCCAAGAAATGTATATGGAAGCTTATACAAGAGTTTTCTCTAATTAAAAAAAATCGGATAGCTTTAGTTTAGAAAGAGATACTGTATCCGTTGAAAGGTGGGGTTTTTTAATTTTATTTTGAAGAATGCTGTGAAACAGTAATTAATAACCCCCTGACATACATTGCAGTGGGTACTGCTGCAGAATAACCTATTGGGAAGCTTGTGGTGTGGGGTTTTCAGATTTAGTCTCCTGGTTAGCAGGAGGTTTGCTGTTCCATGGGCTGTTATTTCCCAGTGCAGGTGAATTGTTGAAATCTTCTTCATCATCCATGCCATTTGCTGCATCATACTGTGTATTCTCTAATCTAGTGATAAGCCTTTCGTCTTCATCCCCAAATTCGCCTCCCATCAGAGTTGGTTCTCCTACCACCATCACATCCTGTGAACAGCACCCAATATTTGTTATATGGAAACCTTGAGAGAGAAAAAATCAACTTAAAAAAATCATGTTAGAGAATTTGCATCTCTTAACTTTGTGATATTTGAACAACAGAGCTAAAAGTTCCTGCTTAGTAGGAACCAGGAGACAGGCTTACACTTTATTTCTAATTTAAATGAAAAGCTATAACACATGTCTCTAGCCGCATGCTCATGGCTCTGGATCTCAGAAACCCCAGAACTGAAAAGCCAGGTAGACTGAAAAACGCGCATGGTTTTAAGCAAATAAGCAGGCTATGAAGCTGCCTTAAACTCCTGCTTGAAGTATTTAGCCTTTATCCAGTAATTCTTTCCTGAGCCATTTTGTTTGGAAAGGCACCAGGGTGCATATCAGTTGCAACTCGGCGATATGCGTATTTTAAAAGTAGTTTAAAAGAAACTGCATTTCTTATCCTCAGACTTCTCAAATGTGGAGCCCAGCACTCTAATAAAGATGGTAACTCTCTTATCCATAGCCAGCCAAGCCCTTTTACGCATCCAATATACTTGACATTCTGCTACTTAATTATGGTAATTAATTTAGGTAAAGTTTTCGATAAAAACAATGTTCACAATGATTTGACAATTTGCATAGCTAATTAAGTCATTAGCAAAAACCTGCTGATTGCCAACAAGCCCTGAATTTACCATCTGTTATTTCATGGTGCCTGTCACCTAACTCCATGTAGGCAACCCTGCCGCCAATCTGTGCAGTAAGAGGACCAATCTGTCCAGCTGGTACCGTAAAAGGAAGATGAAGAGTGCTAATTATAATTACACTGATGAAGCTAGTCGTCATCAAAAACTGAAGCATGCAAGAAAGAAAGAATTCATCTAATCACTGCTTTAAGTACAAATTGTCCTTCCACGAAAACAAGTAAACCGCCTACTGTACTCCAGTGCATCACAGATTTGCTGCAAAAAACCCTAACCAGCATGGGATAGAAAGGTGCAAACTTGAGATCGGAAAGCAAAGGTGCAAAGCCAGAGAGCTCGCTTGTTCTCTCTGTTCAACGGAGAATCAGGCTGCTGTGCTAACCGCTACAGAAATATGCGGGAGGAATCTTTCCATGCAGCTCAGGTGGCAGGGCAACATCAGCTAGCGTTTGGTAAAAGTGCAGTAATTCCAGATGACTAGCTTTGTAGCTGCTGGTTTAACAAGCCCTTCCAAGAATCCTAGTGAACAACAGATTCACATTTTAAAGGATCTGTTCCTCCTTGTGAATGTAAAAGCATTTGTAAAAAGCAAACAGAAGGCAAATGTTTGCATTCGGTAAGGTTTCTTTTTAATTGGATATGTACTCCCTTCCCCATGAAACAATACAAATCATTGCCTAAGTATTTACGCTGTTTCTCGATATCCCTCAGCAGAGGCTGACATGGTACAGAAGAATGCTTATACCACATTTTCAGCCTGTGCTATGTGAAAAATTTGTGAGTAGATAGAAACTGTTACATGATTCCTTCTTTACATTGTCTATATTTTGTTACTCCATATATCCATAAACTATGTGGCTAAATAAAACTCACACACAGCTTTGCAACACAGAAGTTTAAAAGACAAAGGTGTTTATAACCCAAAGTTTTTCCTAATTGATTTCGTCCCTCTAAACAACAGACAGAGGACAGCAAGGTGGGTTTGAGCGTGCAGTGTGATACGGCAGGCAAAAAGGACCACAGTGGCTGAAATACAGAATCACAGACCCAGGCGGCAACAGTTCCTCTTACTTCAACGCTCTTTGAGTATGGACCTCAAGTTCTTGCCCTGTTGCCGTACCAGCAAGAGGTCGGCAGCTTGGATGAGACTTAGAGAAGCACATAAAAAATAACTATGGGGCTAGAACAGCTGGCTGGGGAGGCCACGTGAAAGAATTAAGTGAGTATTACATCCACCAGATGATTGGGAGGGGTAAATATGCTTAACAGCTGCAAGTGCTGAAAGGAAGAGCATCACTTTAGGCCAATCTGATGAGATGTAAACTAGGGTACTAAGATGACATTAAGTAAACGAAAATGTCACCTCCACTGCTGAGACAATACTCCTGTTACTGAGAACCGCAGGCTGAGGATGAATGACCCCTCTGGAACAGTGCTAGCTTTGCTGCTCAGGTCACCTAACACTGGGCTGGGAAAAATCTCAATCTGTGGTAGGAAACATTCGTGCATCAGCGGGGAGATGCTCAATGACCTTGTAAGTATTTCCATCTCTAATTTCTCAGATTCTTTGCAAATATTATTCCTTTAATATAATGATGCCCACTGAGAGGACAGTTTGCACTTAGATTTCTCTCCATGCTATCGAGTCTCTCTCTCTCTCTCTCTCTCTGGGAATTAAACTACAATTATATTGAGGTTAGTGGAGTTTTCCCTCATTCTATTTAAAAGATAGATATGACAGCATTAGTTACAGGACATTTAAAAAAATAATATATATATTCTTGACAATCCTGCCACTTATAGTTATGTCAGGCAAAAATAGTGTCTCAGGAAGCGCACATGCTGGTTCCTCCCCAGAGAGGATTCTGCTCCTCAGACTGAAAGCTGAAGACCCCACCGAGTGCACCCCATTGAACCTCCACTCACTAGATCCCGTGCAATGACCACCAACCTCTGAGGAGGACTGGAAGTGACTCCTTTTAGAGCCCCTCAATGCTTCTCCTTAAATTGGCCAGTGGGGGTCACTGCTGTTGAATGACACAAGGCTCCATCCCTCCCAGGGTTGAGGCTGCAGCTCTGGAGTGCTCCTAGCTCCTGCTCATGGAGTGAGAAGCAGAATCCAAGAATTAAACCCTAGTCTCTAGCACGGCAGCACACACTGCTATGGCCTAGTTATGGTAGCACATATTTGACTAGATTAGTTTAAAAAAGATTTAGACTGTAGTCACTCAATCTTATTAATTCACTCTGCGATTAGAAACAACATTTTTGGTCAAGGAATGTCTCATGATAGTAAAATATGGTTGCAGTGAAGCACTGTAAATAAAGCAGTGGATGTTTTACATTATGTGATAGAAATGTGTTATTTAATAATATAACCACAAAAGCAGCTTTCATGTATATCATACCTTTCAACCTGAAATAACCCTAATTGCCATCCAAACTTAAATCGATGCATATAAACTATACACAGAGATCACTTCATACACAACTCAAATGCAAGCACTTCTATTTAACAGACCGGTCATTTCTCAAGCTTCATCTTTTTTTATACCTAGCCTCAAAGTTTAGCTCTGCTATGCCCAGTTATGTAACTAAACTCTTAAACTTGGGATTTTAAAGAGCATCTGACGGCTAAACAATGTCTTACTGGAGTCTGGAGGTAAAAAATGTGTGGTGGGCCACGTAAAATTCCCAATCCCTGTGCCTGCCATCTTTGCTGCTAATACGTAGCCCTACTCAGTGTGTCATGGTGATTGGCTCATAGCTCAGGTGTCACAGTCCCCAGAAGAAGAAGAACAGTGCTTCACAAGCCTGAGATAATTAAAAATGCCTGAAACTATCAAGTATATTGTTCAAGCAAGCCTGATACTCCAAGGACTGAAGGTTGCACTAGTTCTAGCAGCCAGCATACCTCTAAGTGCTAAGTCAAAAGAAGAAGGGTACCTCCTCCTGACGTCTTCCTTCCTTCCTTCTTACAGAATTGTGTTAGTGGTGATTACTTTAATAATTGACTTCTTAGCTCCTTGCCATGAAAATTATTAATGACTGAGAGCCCCATTGCTGCCCACACCCGTAATGGTCACTGCACTGCCTCCAAGACAGAAACATCAGACTGACATTGGTGTTGAAATGATCTATAGAAACAGAACTGACATTTTAATTAGGTTTCAGAGTAAACACTTTCTAGAGGAAAATGGTTATCTTTCACATCTCATCATAGTCCTCTCTGTTAACTTGACATTCTGGTCTTGTTTGGAATATTTTTCCTAAAGCGCAACAACTGGAAACCCAATTTGTTCACTCTCATCTCCTTACAGCTAAATCTTAAGATTCTGAATTGCACAGTTCGGAGACATGGGATAATTTCTGACACTAATCTTCTGGCCCTGGAACTGTAGCTCTGGTACTACTACATCCATTACAAGCCATCTAGACCTACCCCCTGTTTCTGAAACACGTAAGAGATTGTATTGCTCCCTTCCACATTAGCAGGTTTATTTATGGATTTGGCTTTTGAGGAGCTTACAGAGAACTACAAAGAGAAAGAGAGATTACTGTGGTATGTAACTCGCTTAAAGAGTGCAAGGAGGCTCTAATTAAGACTCTGGATGTAACAAAGAACATTTGATTTACTTAGTGGCATGTAGCAATGCTTTATTCTTTCCAACACAAATGATATTTCACTGGGTTCATGGTTACAGTATTACACTCAACAGGATCTTCATTAGTAAATGAAAGCAAAATCCACCTATTAATTTCTATGGTTATGACTGGGAGCAGCCTAGAGCAATGGGTGTTAGAGTTTGTGAGAGTTGTACACTGTTGTCAAATTTCCAAATTCAAATAGATGAAAATGGATCAATGTGGATGTTTTCCATTACACTTAACAGAAAGTGATATTTAAGTGGCATGGCTGTACGGACCTCTCCTGATGATTTTGCATATACCTATAATCCACAGATCACAGTGTATACAAGTCACTGCTCTACATACTGGGCTTGCCCTACTGGCCTGGGCTTGCAAGAAAGTTTTATTTGAAACAGAAGAATATGAAAAAGGGAAAGGAATACAATATCAGCCAGTAAAGAGGCTTGAAAACCGAGCAAAGACTTGGGAAAACACTGCAGCTAGCTTCAAATATTAGAGGAAATCAGCACTGTGCGATAAGGCAGTGACACACCCAAATTAGACAACTAATTTCTTTAAAATCATAGGAAAGCTAACATTAGAAAGGCAGGTTTTCTATGAGCCACGCAGAAGGAGTCTTGCCCATCTTTGCTCTTTGTTTGGAGGAAAAGGGAAATTGGTAATTCCAGTTTCTGTGCAGTGAGTTAAAATTTTTTCCAAAGATCAGACGTGATTGAGAACATGACCAAATCTGAGAACAGTTCAAATGACTGGCGTCTGCTGAGACTAAGACAGCTGAGGGGACTACAATTTCTGGGTCCGTCTTCCGTCAACTTTCTTTACACACTAAAAAAAGCCAATGCATTGGTGGAAATCACTGCAAGTATTGAGACTGCACCAATGAGAGCCTGGGAGAAGAAAACTCCTGGTGAGAAAAATGTTTTTGTATTTGTGCTATTGGAGAGACTTTAGTGGCACTTGGCTCTACTTCCAACAAAAGGATCACTGGACAAGTATAGGCCAACCTAAACATGAGCTGTGCAGTGCAGTCATGTAGGACGCTGGCTAAGTACATTTGTTTTAAGAATTCAGGAAATATGTAATATGTAGGAAAGCTGTTAAACATGGGACTTGGGCAGGAAGAGTCATATTGACACAAGGAGATGCTGAAGGTCTGCAACCAGTAGCATGAGAACTAACAGAATCACAGAAACCACATTACAAAGGAAAATGAGTGTAGCAGAGTGCAAGTGACTGTCAAAAGGGCAAAACTTTGTATTTTATTTAGTAGGGTTGAGAAAGTATAAAAACCAGTTAAAGATATGAGGACAGACCGCGACTGACCCTTTTCAAATTACTGATGAGAGGGAAGATGCACACCCACCCACTGGCAGAGACCCGTGAGATGCTTCTGAAGACTGTGTCACTAAAGACGTACCAGAATATGTCAACACAGCCAAAGCGCTAATATATATAAGGCAACACAAAGGGCACAAATGATACTGATTGATTAGGCTGCAGCAACTGAACTTCAGGGTGCAGCGCCAACCTAACCCATGCATGGAAATACAACCACATCATTTCACTTTCTGGGCTTGGCTCTGTATCGTCAGCACTGTCCCTGCCTGAAGAACTGATCAGAAAATACCACAGGCAGAGGAAATGGCACAACCTCCTATTACTGAGGAAGAACATGTATGTAATAAAAATTGGTCCACCTCATTGATCAAGGTTTGCTTAGCCCCATGTATTTATCTGAAGATCTGGAAGGGACTAGGGGGAAAATGAGAAATCTCTCTGAAGTTTCAAGCTTTGACATAGCTGATGATACTCCAACTGCTTTCTGGTCACTGTCCTGAACATGGAACATTTGCTTCTTCCAGACACGAAGACCTTGTCAAAAAAAGGTGTTGGTGAGAAATGAGGATGAGGGACACAGTAAGTTAACACATATGCCATAGTGTACACAGCATTACTGTAGGAGCAAAACTGAATAATTACTGATGTCCTAAACCTATTACACAGAATGGAGGCTAAGGAAACATTCTCTAACCAGGATTAATTTACTGTCAAGAGAAACCCACAAAGAAGCATAAAAGTGACAGGAAATTGGAGTTAGATTCCATTATGGAGGAGAGACTTTTTGCTGGCTGGGAAGAAATCACTGGAGAAAAAGAGAAAGCTGGAGTACATGACTCTGTGTTAATCCAAGTTTGGTACAGATATGAGTTCACTGCTGAGGTTCTCCAGAGAGGATGATGGGAAAAATGGAACTAAAACTAGCTCTGGTTATGTGAGTCATATGGACAGAAGATGCAGTGATTTCATTCCTCTTCTCTAATAATGAGGGGGAAAATGCTTTGAACACTGAAAATGAATAATTTCAATAGTTTTTTTGTCTACTGAGCAGGAAAGTCCCATTCACAGAAAGTTCTATGGCCAAATGAAACTTTTAGTTAATAGAAAAATGTCAAATTGTGTTTGAGGATATCTTGTCTTCTATTGCACATAAGGAAAATAAAATACCAACTAGTGAATGATTTGCTTTAAGGTAAAGTTAAGAGAAACAAACAGGAAGCAAGTCACTGCTATCTGCAACTAACTTCAGAAAGCAGTGGCATGCCTGTAACAAGGCCCACTTCAAAGAATGCATAATTTTGAAGAAGCATGGTAACATCTTTCTATTCCACTGAAAAGTGTTGAATAGTTTTACACCAAAATATCCTACTGCTAAAATTATTTTGAGTTCTGTCTACTCTACAGGGTGGCCCAACCATCAGTTCCATCTGGTTTGCTATGTTTGCTGTGGGGAAGATGGGAAGAGCTGTTAGTATGTCAAACTGAACAGCTAAGCATTTTCCACTGTGCAGAGGGAAAGGAGAAGAGTCCTAAAAATGGAACCTGATCCTCCATACAAGAGTTTGGGCCACCTTGCTACTCTGGTACAGAGAGCAAACAATATTGAAAAATATTGACTATGCAGCTTCCTGAAAGTCAATGAAGATGAAAAATCCATCCCTCATACTGTGCTAAACTTCACCATTATGTCTCAGATGCTCAACTATCACCTCCATCAAGAAAAGTAACCTTGAATACTTCATCTATCAGGATTAGCTTTGCAGTACCTCAAGTCAGCTTGAGTATGAGTGGGAGCAACAGGCGACTATCAGAGGGCTCAATCACACTCAAATGTACGAGCAAACGTGGCTACCACTGAAGCCAACAAAAGTCATCTCTCCAGGGAGGAGCAGGCTGAAGAGCAGCAGAGGGTCAGATTCTGGTCCCACTGAACTGAACTCAGGGCAGGGAGAGGCTGAGATAAAGCCATGTTACTGTCTTTTTAAACCTGGAGACAGCAGGGAACAAGCTGGTTGCTCAGTTTTATACCTAATTGCTGTTTTTTTCTTGAATATGATTGATTATTGATCCAAGGGGTTTTCTGGCAGACACAGTCAGTGAGGCAGAGTGGTCCCTGCCACCAGGGGATCAGGTAGCTGGCCTTGTAAGAACTTGACCCCGAGGACGCGAGCCATGTGAAACTTTTAATATGACAAGGAGAAAATATGAGTTTAACGTACTGAAGCCCAAAGCTTCTGTAAGCTAGTGGATTGCTGAATCAGTTGCTAAACAAAAATCTTCATTTCATTTCACTGGTGTTAGTCTACTCCTCTTCTTTATCTGGGTATTCAAACTTCCTAGGAAGTGCCTGCTTTGTGCTAACAAAAGGCCTATATTCTTTGTCAGGCTTCAGAAGAGACCTAGCCCTTTCCTATCTGCTGATCAGAAATCCAATAAAAATCCCTGCATGTTATTCCCAAGATACCACTTTACAGTTCCTATAATATTAAATTAATTTCCCTAGCTTTAAAATGCGTAAGCTCTCTCCTTATTGACTAAGGCACAGTTTGTCACAATTTGGGGTCTGACTACCCCTATATTGTGAATAAGGCAATAAATGTGATTATTAAAGTGCTGGTACAGTTCTGAAAATCACTTGGTGGTTCCCTATATAATTGGGATATCAACAGTTACAGCTAGCAGGGTGCATAACCTGAGACCCATATTCCAGGGGATCTACCCTCTGCAAGTGGAGTGGTTGGAAAAAGACATAACCTCTGCAGGTAAGTGAATTTGCAAGCTGTTCCACTGAAGCAGCTGAACCCGGCACCAACTAGAGGTAAGGTACTAAGGTAGAGAGACCAGTGCTCTGCTCAGGTACGGCTGTTCTGTTCCACGGGGACTCATCCTCACTTAGCACCTGGCAGATGAATGTCTGCAAGATTCATGCTATATCTAAAAATGCAAGCCCCAACCTGAGTCCCACCACCAGGGGAACCACTGACAAGAAGGGGAGTTCACCCAGGCCTTAAAAAAATAACATCTGGTCCTTAGGATGCCCCTGCTTGAGGGTTATTCGTTAAAGCTGCACTGCAGAATGGCTTCTTCACATCTCCCCACTAATTCCCCAGCTTCCACAGCACACTGTGCAAGATCACCTTTTGCTTGTGATCGTTTAGGCTCAAGAATGCACCTTCTTTACAATGTAAGGAAAGAGTTAAAGCACCGTAAGCGATTCAGGCCTAAGAGGAAAGTGAGACTTACAGGTACCTGACTTGATAGACTCAGGTTTGCAGCAGCTGACTTTTTCTTGCTGCTGGTACTATTTGCGTTGTTTCCAGCACTGCTGTTGGAAGTGCTGCTGGTAGAGTTTTTCCTTTTTCTCCGTTTGGTTGTCGGTTGTCTTGTGGGTTCTGCTGCAATAAAATGGTAAGAAGGAAAGCAAATGGCAGATATTGTAAAGCGTGTACTAAAATGATCCATTGGCAGAAGTGCTGAAATATTTTTTCATCTAGTTTTGAATTCCTGTGTTTGCTAGTATATGTACTAGTCGTAGTAGATTTAGCATAGGAACCATAGGATAATATTTGGACCCAAACCAATGGAATCTGCCTTCAGTTTTGTATAATGGACTAATGAAGTTTGCTCTCCCAGCATTATCTAAAAAGATACTTGAAAGCATTTTACCAACAGGAATACCATGATGCCTACCATGATGTTCAAACTGACCGTGTAACCTGCTGAAGGTCACACAGCAAGTGATGGTTAGTGCTAAACACAAATCCAGGTCTTATTCTGGTGTAGGGTACAGCCTCAGCTGACCCGGCCAGAGGCAAAGGCTGAAGGGAGCTTTCTGCCCTACTGCTGCCGCCGATACAGCATATGAGCAGCTACCATTTCAGTTCCTTCTACCGCTGATGTGGGCTTCGTCTTTAAAACTGCCATTCCCAAGGGGACACGTTAGAGAGTACTGAATGCCATTTCTCTGTGAGTCTCCCAAACTCAGACCGAATTAGGACAATTACATAACTTTTAAACTGGAAAAGAACAGAGGGGCAATTGTACTTTTCAAAATTTGGCCTGGGCCCGCCCCCTTGTGAATAGTCTCAGATACAGAAATCTTTAATAATCTGAAAAAAGAGAGAATTATTATTTTGAGGAGTAAGAGGAAGGAGATTAGGTCCAGGCCTGTAAATAACATTATATTAGTCTCAAAGACAATTAATTATGAATTGTAGCTGTAATTTCAGAGTCACAGCAGGAAGCTGAATTACACAAAGGATGAATTCTAATGGAGCCAGTAGGCATTTTGCATTCCATCTACACATATTTTTGTACTAAATTATATCCTAGTCATAGTGAAACCATCTCAATGTGCACATCTATAAATCAGTCGGGTCAAACTGAAATCATAAAACATCAGAATCATTTTCAGGCTTACTTTTGGAACAGTGCTAATTCTTATTGCTTTCCTTCGTAAGTAAATTTGCAGTAAATGTTTCCATTGTTTCTGTATTAATTTAACCATAAAGTAAGTAAAACACTGGAAATGAAACATACCTGGTGGGGCCACCATTCTCTGCCATTTTTGAAACAAGCAAGTCTTCAAGCAGTCTCGAGGACTTAGATTGTAGGTTTTATGTCTTGACATCAGTTCCTGCATTGGCTCCAGTATTACACACAACTGGAAGAAAAAGTCAGAATAAAATGATTTCACCCAAGGCAAGACTCAGCTGAACAGTATTTACATAGCTGAAAAGTATATTCTTGGACTTTTTTTACCCTTGTACAGCTCAGTTTAATCTGCACTGGGATTGCAGGATCAAAACTCTGAATTGAGAAAACTTTTGCTCACTATATGCTATCTTAAGTATTTTAAAAAAGAAATCAGATAAACTTCAACTCTGGTCTTCCAGACTACAGAGATTTCAGAAGAGTAGAAAATTTTCATGCTTGATTGCTAAAGCTGCAAGGATGAATTAATAAATAATAAAATGCCCATGGTGGGTTATCATTCCCGTATAGCAAAATGTACACATGGTGATCTTCTGACCTGCTGCACTCCACAATGAAGACTTCTCATAAATGAGGGTTGTAAACATGATATTTTATCTTGCTATTGCATGCAAAATAATTCAAATAATTTTGTTCCTTTCTTGTTCTGAGGACTGTACATTCTCTTCCCATCACATGAATGACATGCCAAGAAAAAAAAGAGAAGCATTTTATTTTCCTCATCAGCTTGAATGCTCTATTACGTCGAAGCTGGAGATTTCTGAAAACATGGAATTTCAAGCAAACGTCTTCTTTAAATAGTCTTATATATTTTCTATCTGTTCACTTAGTAATTAAAATCACCGTTCACCGCTTTTTGCTCCTGTTAGCACAGCAGACCTAGCATAAAGAACACAGTGAGTGGGTTTCTATTCCCTCCTGTTTATCACCACAGAATAATTTCCAGTCAGTTAAACCTTACGCAAAGCCACAGAAGACTACAGAATAGTGTACATGTAATTGAGGGCTTACTCTTCTTTGCAGGATCCTTGGTTTTTTGGTCATCCTACATGAGAAGAAAAAATCCAGGCTGACCCCTATGTTCCACCTGAAATTTGCAGGGCTGGGGCATAGGAGGGAAAGGTTCCTTACTTGCTAACTGAGCAGATTTGATAAGAAAATAGCTGACACAGAATAAACATGGAGCTTGCATGCCATTTTCAGTCACTTTTCAAAGGCATAACTTACACCGAGTCTTGTTTTATTTACTTAATTTTAGCAGGTCTTGCTTGGATTTACTTCAGCAGGCAATGTTTTCCTTCCATGCTTTAACAAATATATAATACGATGCAAACTCTTCTCTCTGGGCTGTACGACCGATCAATGTTTGCTCCACTCTCCCCATGTGCACCCCTCTCTCATTCATACAAATGGAGATGCCAAGTATGGAGGGAAAATAGCTGAAAGGGAGCTGCCATGAGGACTAAGAGATTAATTCGGCATTTAAATATTATTGTGTATTGGCACTGCCTTTTGATGAGCCTTTCATTAACAGCAGTTAAAACAGAGATAACATAAAGCAGCAGGGAGAATGAAGAGCTTCAGTATGAGGAATCATGTTTTTCCAACTGCAGAAATTGAATCTGCAGTTGCCTCATCGACTTTTTTCTTATGTAGACTTTTTACATATATTTTTGTAGCTAAATATCTGCCAGGTAATCCAATAGTCAGAGAGTTGCTACCAGATTGTGCACTTTGGGCTCAGATTTTCCTCTGCTTCAATATTCTACCAAAAGTTAAGAGCATCAGGTCTTAAAGTGTGTGCAGGATCCAGTTTATGCTGCGAAAGAGGTGTTGTATGTTGAGTTCTCATTCAATTTATTCTGAAACCTGCAGGTACTTGCTCGGGTTTTGTGTGTGTTTGCGTGAGCGAGATTCACAATCGTAATCGACACGGTTGCTTTGGTTCTCAAAAGTCTGGATTTCTGGCAGGGCTGCCTAAATTGTCTCATTATGAGCAGATAGCAACTAGCACGAAAAAGATAGCTGTGATAATTCTTAACAAACTAGTTAGCCTGGGCAGAGCACTATGCTCACTTAGCTCTACTGCTGCTGGGACTAGAAGTATGTAAATATACATGTAGGGTCTTCCAAGATTTCCTTAGGGACACTTTATTCATGACACATTTACTCCTCCGTATATATTTATTGTTGGCAACAAAGAGACTATTTCTTCTTTATCATCTGGCAAAGATGTTTCCCATTGTGCGCTAACCGTAATGTGCACTGAGGAGAACTACGCAGTCCCTGCCGCCTGTAGATATCTTGACTGCTAATCCTTTCTATAATCTCTTTCACTTCACACACAAGATTAAGATTGGATACGGACCCAAAATGTAGCAATGCCTGACTGATTTCACATGCATGGACTCAAAAAGTCAAGCGCCGGGGCCCCCACCCTGGGACACAGGACAGTCTCATCTCCTGCATATTTGGGAGCTGTATGGACTTGCATGAATTCCTTTTCTGGTTCTGGGACTGGGGAATTCTCAACCCTTTTCTCCCTCTAAACTTTGCAAATTGTAAGATCAGCTTTGGATGCCTGAGTAATAGGAGAGCATTGCACTCTCTAGTGACAAGTCCATTTTAAATGCCTCTAGCTCTTGTGAACCTGGCACAAATGTAAAATGAACTGGATTAACGATGATTGATATTAAATCTCACAGTCTTTTTCAGTGACCTTTGAGACCTACTTGAAATCTAAAGTGACTCAAAACCAAATCCCCGAAAGAGGAAAAGATCGTGGTCCAATTATCTTAAGTCTGGGGAACCTGCCACTGACAATCAGTAGCTTGGTTTTTGCAGAGAGCTAGACTGAAAATGTGGGGACAAGATGCATTTAAGAGCTAAGTTGGCCAAAACCACCTGCCGTCTTTACTGCTAGTGAGCAGGGTAACTGGCAGGCTGGTTTGACTGCATCATTTTACAAAGTGACTTCTTAAAACAAAGCTAACGAAATGTTTTACATACTCTTACATTCACTGGCATATAGAAGAAGCCTGAGGCTTAGGCTGCCTATTCCCCATAGATCACCTAATCTCACTCTGTGAGATTCCTTTTCAAAATATCTATTTTAACATTTTTTTTCAAGCATTGGATAACATTAAAATATACAAGTCTTTACTATAGTACTATAATAATAATATTTGGAACACCAACAAACCCAATCTCTTCTACAAGCATTTTCTGCGCAGCTCAGAATCAGTCACCCAGGAAAATACCCTAAAGACTTCAAGACTTTAGCGCAGTGATGATGTATGATCACAGAAATAATTTCTGCACTTCTAGGGACCCAGAACCTTTAATGGCAATGTTTGATAAGACACAGTTAGACATTTCCAAGTTCCACGTTTAGGCAACACAAAAGGTGGGACTCGTTTGCTCGCACAAAGGCATCTAGCGCCAGCTGAAATGCCCTAGGTTATCCTGGATCTGATCCATCTGATCTCTCTTGCTGTCCCAGAAGGACACAAGGCTCCATGTGGATGTTTCAGGCACTGGAAGTTGTCTTAAGTGTGTGGGGAACTGAATGAAGCCCAAAGTTAAAAGAAAAACTATGCTTCTTTTAGCTTTTAAGACACATTTGGAAGAATCTGTATGATAATAGATTATATACTTCCCCTCTGCAATACTAAAACCAAACTAGAACCCCACACGATGTTTAGTAACCCATTATTGTTAGAATTAGTTTCCAGTCATGTTTTCTTATCTGATCTCATCACAGTGATGTCTGACCATTACTGGAGAACCACTGCTGTTTCACTGTGTCATAGCTGTGAGTTGGATCCCTTGCTAGAGATGAACACGGCACTTTACAGTGGAAGAAATCATTGGCATGAAAAGTTTATATTTGTGGGTGCCCAGCACACACTGGGACACATGCACGCATTTTGGTGTCAATGATTTGGCTACAGTTCCGTATGGATCCTATGGACAATTCATCAATTACAGGGCTTGGATCCAACTTGAGAAAATAGCAATGTTATACCCTTGGGGCTCAGAGAATTGAAAGTAGGGAACGTAATAAAGCACATGTTTTTTTGTGTTAGTAAAACACATCTGGAAGGATTTGATTTATTTTATTTTTGTAATGACTTTTTTAGAGGAGAGGACTAGCATTTATAGGCTTCAGAAAAGAGTGTGTTTTAAGAAGGGAGTTATATGAGGAGATACTGGAGGCACTGCAGACAGGAGTTAGAGGGTTCTGAGAATATGGATCCACACGTAATTTCCTGTAATACTTCAGTTATCAGCAAAGCCAAAATCAGCCTTCATAGGTAAGGGGTCAGATTCAGCTCTGAGATCACTCCAGTCACACCAAGAATGGTTTTAGCCTTATGATTTTTGTTCTAACTCTGGGTTTCTATTCTATTCTGAGAATAGACGTGCATTCTGATAGCAGTGAAGAGTAGCAGGAAGACCGATGTGAAAGCTCTCTTTTACCTTACTTCTGCATACCATAAGCTTATGTATGCTATTGCTAATTTAATTAGCAAAACCTCTTGTTTCTATGAGAATTTTTACATTTCCGAAGGTTTGTTACTCTGTTGGTGAAGATGCTGCGGTCCTGCCGGCTCTGAGCTGCAGGTGGCAGAGCTGGCCCAGCTAAGTCTTCCCCTGCTTCCATGCTAGGAGCACAAAAGAACTGCAGCCTTTCAGTCTTTCAATGCCTTTTGCATTTTAAAGAGGATTCAGTGGGACTGAGTCTTGCAATACTTAGGTGGCGAGACTGACACAACCGCCAGCTTCTTTAAAGCAGGAAACAGATCTGGTCAGGAAGTGCTGGGCAGCCAAAGAGTCCCAAAGTCTATCAAAAGAAGCGAGTTTTGAGAACTGTGTCTTCCCATGGTTACCAGTTTTGTCTGTATAAGTGGAAGTTTCACTGACCACAATTTAAAAAATGGTATTATCTAAAATTTTCATGTAGTTGACACTTAAAAATGTTCGTGTATAATGTAACATCCGTTTTTCTGAATGAAACCAGCAAGGAACCTGACCGCTATGGAAGTGTTCCCTGAAGTTTTACTGAAATTTGGTTTTCACTCTTTCACGCTTGAAACTTCTCTGGGCTGAATGCCTATATTAATCACTTGAAAACTATAGGAACTATTGCATAGTCAGAGCTCACAG